TGGGGAATTCTGGGAGTTGAAGTCCACCCATCTTAAAGTGGCCAAGGTTGAGAAACACTGGGCTACACTTTTCATCAAGTCCAACCAGTACAAAAAGGGAGATGGGAACTGAACTCCAAAGGAGGGCAGACAATTCTGGGAAGGCTGTTATTTTTTTAAAAAAAGCAGCAGCAGCTATTTTGGTACCAGTAATCAGCTTCATCTGTTGGGCAACCCAATTAGAAGATCTGACTCACAGCATTCTAAAGTCTTCATTTCTTGATTGCTTTGAAGGTGATATTAGGCATATATAAAGAAATGCAAGCTGTGACGACGTGAACATCATGCTTAGGATAAAGTTAATCCAAACTTTTATCTTACTTTAATTTCTGGAATTTGGGGGATTGAACATTGGGCAAAGGTTTGGTGAGATTGGCATCCTTAAGCTTAGATGCGATTGCTAAGGATTTTGAAATTCTTTTTCTTGCTGCAATGGCTTTTTAAAAATAGGGGAAAGGGCAAAGAAATCTCTTTAGTTCCCTTATTTAAACTAAGGCATTTCTATCCTTCTTGGAAAGTTTTGAAACATTCATTTCCCCATTCCTAAAAGCAGCTGAATATCCCACTTCCATAGGGAACAAATAGTTCTATGAAGCATGAGACAAATATTCAACCCAACACTAGCTAAACCTGATTGTTGAGTGACTACTTGAGCAGCGTCTCCATGCTGAACAGCTAACACTCCCTCCTACTCAAATAAGGTGCGAAGGGAAGTAGAGAATTTTAATCTTCTTCTCTGCAGTTTAGCCCAATCCTAACTCCCTTCTAATCCATTCTCAAACGGTCACCACGGGGACTCAGAAGTGACACTGTTGGACCACCCTGTAATTTGATCACCCTGCAAGATGCCAGCAATCTGATTCCAGTGAGATGCCAACTGTCTATTTGAACACTAGTCTCTCTGTTCCTTTTCATGGCAGACAATTCTGCCAATGGTTGTTTGTCACGATAGCTTTGTAGAACTTCCAGGTTTAGCCACCAGGGAATGTCAAGGATTGTCTTCACACTCCAGTTACGAACTTTTCAAAGACATGTCACGGACTACCATGGGGGAAAAAGATGTTTGATTAAATAAAGCTGTGGTCTGAGCTACCACCACAGTTCTTATGTTCTTATTCAATGTTGTAATTACACAAAAATCATGCCTCTGGCATGCAGAATTTGGGTCATCGGGCACTTTGAAATGGATATACAAAGCCATTTCCTTAAAGACAATGAGAATCATATGAGCTTTGGCGTAAAAATGATTACTCTAATGTTTACTGCAAGGTCTAAATGCTGGGAGGGATAGAGCATTGGTCCACATGTCCAAGTGAGGAGAATGGGCTAGGAGGATCCTCCTGTTTCAGAAGAAGCACAAGGTAATCCTGAGAAGATATCCTCCAATAAGCCACATGATAGGCCAGCAGTAAATCCAGAAAATATAGATATCAGAACAGAAAACAAGGAAAGGCTCTTGATTTGGTGTGCAGTTTTCCATTGCTTGAGAGAAATGCTGGGGAGGAGAGGGGAGGGTTGAACTGTAAATGGTGTCTTAAACATTCTTCTTTTGCTAGAAAATTAAAAGTGAATCTAGATTATAGTTTGATATGTGCACATATGTAGAGGCCACATATAGATGTAGTCTTAAAGGACAGGAGGAAGAGCTGCTACCAAGGCAACAGTCAGATAAGAGGGGCTTGAACACAGGCCAAGAAGACAATGTGACAAAACATCTCAGCAAGCTCCTCCTTAGTTTGCACGTAAATGAAGTGAGGGAAGGGGAAGCACATTCAGACTTAAAAGTTTCTTTTACTATAGCTCTTACAATAAAAGTAGTTCTGACCTGTATGGCACTGGTTTCTTAGTCTTGTCTACCTTGTTGGGCTGACAACATATTATCAGAAGTGACTTTTGGTAAGAAAACGTCGTAGCAATGAGTAGTTACTAGCAGAAACAATAAAATGTGGGGCACCAAGGCCCAGTGAAAATGTTGGTTTTGAAATGTCTGTTCCTGTTGGTAGATATATTGCATCTACACTTTTAGCTAGATATGGGGAAAGAACTAAGGGATAATGGGAACAGTCGTGTCCATAGGATCTGGTCAAAAAAGTCAAGATGGCAGCTCTAACATGTGATTGCAACTGCTTGTTTTTTTTATGTACATTGTATTTTATGTGCATTGTTTTAATGCAGGCACAACACACATAAAAAACAGGCAGAACTTCAGTCACACCGCTGCAGTCGCCATCTTGATTTTTTTCACCAGACCCTGCAGACACCTCTGAATAGGAAAGATACCTGGATCTATACTCCTAGATCTCTGGAACCTACTCCTCTAACCTTGTTTCAGCTGAATAATTACAACTTGGCTAAATAAAGAAAACAAAGCCACACACCTTGATGACGAACTGAATGCAGGTCTTCTCATCCGGCTGGTAAGAAATACAAAGCATCACAAATCCAGTGATGGCAACCACACAGACCTGAAGAGAAGAAAGATGAATAAATTGAAATTTAAGACTGGAGCAGACAGAGAAGAAGACATTGCCAGGCCAAAACCTCCCATTACCAGTTCAGGAGATCAGAACCTTGATGTACACCATCATTATCATAGAGTCTATCTGATAATTCGTTTGGTACTTTTGACTACTGGATCCTTCCCAAGAATCTAAAATAGATATTGTTGTAATATATGTTTATATTACAAAGGTAGTGCAACTTTTTGTAATTGATGAGAAATTCTGTCCATTCCCATTGTGTCCAAGTGCATCATCATCATCGTCATCATCATCATCACCAGTTTCCCTATCACACAGTTCTTCCACAGTCTCTCCAAACATTAACATAGTAAAATATCATACCGAAATACACAACTGAATAAGCTACACATTTGTGCCAGTTGCAGGAAACAAAAGAAAACTGATACAAAATTAGCACAGCAACCATATACCACAAAATCCAGTTCATATCAAGACTCCAGACTTTGACCTCACAGTTCAGAGGGTCTGGGGCATATGGTCTTCAATTGATGCTGAACATGCCATCAGGCACTAGACCAGTGTTTCTCCACCGTGGCAACTTTAAGATGGGTGGACTTCAACTCCCAGAATCCCCCAGCCAGCATGGCTGGCTGGGGAATTCT